ATTCACTTTCATGCAGCTTAAATTCAAAATTCTATGTCCATTTAATACATTTAAAACAAAATATATCTGTAGTTATCATAAATGTGTCATAATTTTTCATTTATCAGAGTGCCACACACTGGATCAACCATTACTCAATCAGCAAGCTTCAGCACCTACTATGTGTCAGGCACTGTGCTAAGTAAGCACTCTGGATACAGAGACAATCAACCAATAATGACTTATTTAGCACCTACTGTGTGCCAGGCTAAGGAGCGAGGGGATACAAAGAATGATACTGTCAAGAAGCTCAGATTCTTATGGAGAAAACAGCAAGTTTATATTTGCCTTTCTTTGTATCTCCAATGCTTCAAACAGTGCCTGATACACAGAAGGTTCTTTTTTTTACATAGTAGGCTCTTAATAAATACTTTTGACTTGAGTAGTGTCTACAGAATTTATTTTGCACAGAAGCAAAAGATATGCTCCTCATAGCTTTAGCTCATCCACAAAAGTGAAGGATGCATTTATTGCGACTCTTGACTCACTCTTTATTTCTCTTCCGCCATCTTTCCAACGCAGGCCATGGAGATGCAGATCAAGAAGCAGTTTCAGGACACTTGCAAAGTCCAGACCAAACAGTATAAAGCACTCAAGAATCACCAGTTGGAAGTTACTCCAAAGAATGAGCACAAAACAATCTTGAAGACATTGAAAGATGAGCAGACAAGGAAACTGGCCATTTTGGCAGAACAGTATGAGCAGAGTATTAATGAAATGATGGCTTCTCAAGCGGTAAGCATTTGCCAAACTTCAGGAAAATGTTCCCAGATGGAATGGTCTTTCCCGACTCCCAGATCCACAATTTCGAGAAGTTGGTGAATAGCCTCAAGCCTCTCATTTGCTATCTAGTCGTTGGGATGATTGGGCTGATGGTGGTGGTGTTGTGTTCAGCAAGATTAATGATCCAACAGAAAGCCAAACTTAGAGCATGGGTCTCAGTTATCTCATCTGCAAAATAGGAGAGATCGACTCCTTGATCCACTGATCTCTAAGGTCCTTTCCAGTTCTGTGACACATGGCACCAGCAGGGCATTTACTTAAGGCTGCCTTTTAATGATGACCAGGGAAAATGATAAGCTAGGTCATCCCAATATCTACCTAGTCATTATCCTGTTGCCAACAGGGACACCAAGGGGAAAATGCCTTCCCTAATATCACCTTAAAAGAACAATAATACACCCAAAAGAATAAGGCTCTATTCAGTAACACATGGCTTTCTCGCATTCACTAAACCATCGGGGAGACCTCAGTATCCTGATCACTCCAGAATCCCCTTGGTGAGAAAACTCCCTCAGTTGCACAATATGCCAACTCCTCCATGCCCTCTCCTGTGCAGTTTTTGTCCAAAACATCATGAAACCTCCATAAAGGATTTGCCCAACATGCTAAGATCTTCCACTGCTCCAGGTTTTTTATTTCCTTTTTTAATATTTTGTGGGAACCAGTACAACATTTGGCTTATCTGTGTGATATCTTTTGCTCTCACTATAAGACTGCCCTCCCTTTTTTTTTTCCAAAGGCACCCATGCCCTTGAAGTCTTCTATGCCAATTCTTCCATGCCCAGTTTCTAGATAAGAGGCTTCTTATGCTCATTGCATATCTTTCCACTGTCTTGATGGTAGACTGAAACTGTGCTTCTTTAGAGAACATGACATTCCTTGACTAAAATTCCTGGGGCATCCCTGGAGCATGCAGGTGTTAAAATAAAAATGTTCTTGGGTGGCAGGAAGCAGCTGGGAATCACTAAAATACTCTGTCATTTCCCAAATACAATCTGCCAAGCCCTGCGCCTCCTATTCCATTCTGGACTTGTGCAGCTGCAGTGCCTGTCCAAGATCTGTATACCATTGGACTAAATGATCAATGGTCTGGCCATCTAACCAGTTAATAGGTCATATTCCAAGCAATGGGCCTTCTTTTACTACTTGGTTTTTCTGTTATGCCTAGCTAGATTCCTCTCTTTTCAATGTTTCAATCCAGTGTTTCTAGTAAATAGGAATATCCATAGAATTCTATACTCTAGAGCAGAGGTGTCAAATTTGCAGCCCCCATGGGCAGCCAGAGCCAAATTGTAAATGTAATTGGGAAATGTTAAACAAAATAAATAAAAATACAGTACAATGTGTTATAAATTTGTGGCTTTCAAAGTCAAAATGCAACTACAGGAATCAGTTTCTATTTGAATTTGACACCTACTGCTCTAGAACAAAAATCCTTCAGCTTTCTGGGGTCATGGATCCCTTTGGCAATCTAGGGAAGTCTTCTCAGTCTTCCCTTTAAATTCATGGAACCCAAGTGGAGAACCCCCACTCCATGAGGAATCCCTCTTCCATCTGGGCTTTGTTCAGGACATCTTCCATGACAGTAGCAAACACTCTTCGCAAAGATGTGTGGTTTACATCTCATTTAATAGTGAGAATCAGAGGCTCATTGAATAAAGTCATCTCTGTAGAGTGGCAGCTATGGGTGAATCTTGTACGATGTTACCATACTCGTGAGAGATGGCTCATTGAAGGAGAGCCATATTAGCTATTTGTTCAATGATATGAGATAGTGGGCATTCCTTTAGTGTATGACTTGAGCTAGATTGCCACTGATGTCCCCTCTGACTCAAATTCTATGATTCCGTGCTTCTATGAAAACAAATACCTTCCTTTAAAAAAAATCAACAAACATTAGACCAAATGGAATTTTATATTCTTTCTACCTCTCAGCAAACTGTGTGGCTATGAAGCTATCTATTATCTGCTAGAGAAAATTATCTGTGAAAGCCTGCCTGCTCCTTTCTCTTACTTCCATCAAGGATTCCTTTGACATTCACATAGTTTATTCTTAGAAAAACTTTATAGAGATGAGAAAGCAGGCAAAGTGATTGCTAATTGCTCATATTATCTCAGTTGACTTTTTGGGTAAAAATAAACTAAAACACCCTCTATGACCTTTTGCATTCTCAAGGAATTTTGCCTTCTTTGAGATTCCTTGGAAAGTGGTCTCCCTGAAAGCTGACTTCTCCAACCCAGATCTTCTCTGCATACATGTGGTCAGAACTCTTTCCAGCTTCAGTTTCTTGAGTGCCTTTTCCCCTTCTTGAGATGGCCTACCAAAGACTGAAGGGTTAGAATCCAAACATGTTCACACCACTGTTCCTCATGGGAAGATTCAATCACTAGAGGAACACCTCTACTTTTCATCAGTCAGTCGTCTGCCATCCACTTTCATCCGTAAATGCTCCTGGAGTGATCAGGCATTATTTGGTCTTATTACAAACTTCGTGCAGACTCGTTTTCCCTTCCACTGCTTTTCACCATTTTATGAGGCAGTATTGTTCAAAATTTTCCCTCATCATCCTCCTTAATGCTTGTCGATGAGCTTACTGTTCAGAATCAGTGTTGCCCTCAGCAGCCGTAGCTCTCGACTTGGTAAGGAGATTACATATTTGTTGGTGAAAGAGGTCCTTGGATTCTTTTGCTTTCCTTGGGGTGATGTTTATATCAATAAATTAGACAAAAGTTTCAACAGACATTTACGTGCCGGGCAGTGGCCCAGGGCCTTGAGATTCAAAGATGTCAGTGAAATAGTCCTTGCTCCCAAGGATTTCTAGGGGGATACAGTTTGTACCCAAGATAATTTCAGTAGGGAGAGAACATTAAAAATTGGTTGCATGAGGGAAAAATTCATGGAGCTGAGCGTCAAAGATAAGAATTCTGAGAAACCCAGATAAGGTTTCCAGGCATGGGAGACCTTGCATACAAATTCAGAAGTGAGAAATGGAATGTTGAGTTTGGGGACCAGATAGGAGGAGGCCAGTTTGATTGGAATGGGAGGGTGCATGAAAAGGAATAATGGGAGATAAGTTTAGAAAAGGGGTTTGGGGTCTAATTGGGGAGGGTGGGGAATAAGGGCATCTAAAGCACCAGTCGGGGTTTTGATGTTACCATCAAGTCAATAGGGAGGGAGGCTTTTGAGCAGAAGGCTTGGGGAGTGGCATGGTTATAACTATGCCCTAGGAATAGCAGTGGGGAGCAACAGTACAGGACCTGTAGTCATTGATAAGTTGGAGAGCATCCAGGAATCTAATGTAGCCAGCTAGGTGGTACAGTAAAGGATAAATACCGGACTTAGAGTCAAAAAGAGCTGGGCTTGAATCTGGCCTCAGATTTATATTCACTATGTGACCCTGGAGTTCCAAGTTCCTAATTTAGAAAACAAAAATACTAATACCTGTAGTAACTACCCGACAGGGTTGTTGTGAAGCTCAAATGATATAAAATAAAGCTTTAATAGAGTAAAAGTGCACTGAGACTTTGGGGACACTCCGTCCCAAGTGTTTGGCCAACTTTATAGCCCTGCCTCAGTGGCAGTTAACTGCTGCTGTTGTTATTATCATCATCATTATTATTGCCACCATTACTGTTATTCTCTTGGAAGCTGTGTGGCAAACAGATTAGAGGAGGGAGAGCCTGGAAGATGAAAAACCGATTTAAGGAAGAGATTATTACAATAAAGAGTCCAAGTGAGAGAGAAAAAGGTCCTAAAGCAGAGTGAGGAGAGAGAAGGGGACAGTGGCAGGAGATGTTATAGAAATGAGAAGGACTCTACCCCGTGGAGGGCTGAGGGAGGGGGAAGAAACCCAGACCTCAGAAGTAATCAAATCTAACCTAGGTTGTCTGCTTGAAGGCCTCCATGATGGGGAAGTCATCACTTCCCAAGGGGAGCCACTCTCTTTTGCATTGGCACTCTCAGAGTTAGAATGGTTTTCTTCATGTTAAGTTCACCTTGTCCTCTCTGCAAATTCTACCTGCCGCAATGTCTAGTTCTGTTCCTTAAGGCCAAATGTGGCAAATCTGACCCCCCCCCCTTCAAGCCCTTGAAGAAACCAAGGCAAGGCAAAATAGCAAGCATTTATTAAGCACCTAATACATACTAGGCACTGTGCTAAGTTCTGGGGATACAAATAAAAGCAAAAAGACAGACAGTCTCTGCCCTCAAAGGGCTTCCATTCTAGTGGAGGAAGAGAGAAGAGGAGAGGATGAATTGTGGGGAAAGAAATTAGCAGAGCCCAGAGAGGAATAAAGAAGGCCAAGCTGGGGGCCCTCCTTTAAAATGGACGTTCTGGAAGGAAATGACCCATCGGAAGAAGGGGCTATAGGGCCTTGGCAGCTTCCAAGGCAGGAAGGCAACTGGAGCATGAGGAAGAAAGAAGTCATCTGCAGAGTCAGGAATAGGGCCCAGAGGGGAACATAGGAGTGAAGAAAGATGTTACATCCCTTCTTTTCTGGTGTCAAATATCCCCGGTTCCTTCAGTTGACCTTCATATGACATTGGCCCTTCAGCATCCTGGTTGCTTGTCTCTGGGACAATAATAATAATAGCTAGCATTTATATGACATTTGAAGTTCGTAAAACACTTTACAGATGACATCTTATTTTATCTTCACAACAAACCCAAACCCTGGGAGGTAGGGGTAGCTGCTTTTTATCCTTATGTTATAGATGAGAAAACTGAGACAGACTCACATAGCTAGTACATGTCTGAGGCCAGATTTGAATTGAGGTCTTCCTGACCCCAGGTCCAATGCTCAATTTTTTATGCCACCTAACTGCCTATAATGGATACCTGGAGGCTCTCTACCTTATCAGTGCCTTCTAAAATATCCAAAACATAACTAAGGTGATCTAACTGGCACAGAGTACAATCAGACTTTTGAATCCCTAGCCTTGGACACCACACTGCTAAAATGCAGCCTGAAATCACATTGCTAGGAAAAGCTGTCATATTCTACTCCCAAGCTTTCAGAACACTAAACATCCTAGATTTTTTTTCAGATGAACTGTTGTCTAGCTTCACCTCTTTCATCTTGTCCTTCTGAAGTGATTTTTTTGAGCCCAAGTATAATTCTTTACATTGATCCATAGTTGATTTCAGCTAATAGTGCATAGTGGAGCTAGCCAACAAAAAGATTATGAAAACAAGGGGTCATGCGTTGGGAGAACAGGGAGGGAGTCAGTCAACTAACATTGATTAAGCACCTACTATGTGCCAGGTGCCATGTTAAGCCCTGAAGATACAAAGAAAGGCAAAAGACAGTGCCTGCCCTCAAGGAACTCCCAAGCTAATGGGAGAGAAAACAAGCAAACACGTATGTAAAGAATTGGGAAGACAAAGAATACATTTTAAAGGAGCAACATGCAGGGACAAATGGAAGGATAGGTGATAATGATCAGAAAGGAGAATTTCAGAGTTCAAGAACATTAAGGTTATGCAGTTATGACTGATAGTGAGATCGATGTGGATGGCCAAGGTCAAGTGTATGGGAGAGAACAGGTCACCCAGAAGAGAGGGGTGCCAGGGATGCCACGTACTTTGGAGAGAATCAAGTTTCCAGGAGCCACAGAAGATGAAGAGGGCGTGAGAGGAAGCAATCTGGGCTCAAGGGGAGTTTATTATTATTTTGGTAGAGAAAGGTTTCCTTCATGTATGATGGAATGGAAGAGCTAATTAAGGTGTGGACTAGAACAAGGTGGGGCAAAGATGGATAAGGATGGAAAAAAAACAAAACAGGAAGAAGCATCAGGAAAAAGGGATGTTCTGTTCAGGAAATGACCACTCTGAGCCACACGGATGAAAGGATCAGGAGATGATCCAGAGAAGCAATTGATCAGGGTCCCCATCTTCTGGGGTTCTCTGATCACTGAGCATAGAATCAGTTGAAGGAAAATACATTGGTTTCCCTAGCTTGTCACCCCAAATTCTGGAGATGTGGGGTTGGAAGTCAGTCAAAAGCATTTACCAAGCTCTTACCATGTCCCAGGCACCATGCTAAACCCTGGGGATACAAAAAAGGGGGGGGGAACAACCCAACAACCCAGCCCCTGCCTTCAAGGAGCTCATAGTCTAACAGAGGAGACATGAAAAAAAAATTACACACATAAGACATATGAGAGAGAGAGAGAGAGAGAAATAATAGAGTAAATATAAAGTATGTAGCATACTGCATAAATGGGAGTTATCTCAGAGGGAAAGTTCTAATGGGGAGGGGGGTGAAGTTCCTCCTAGAGAAGGTGGGGTTTGATCTGAGTCTTAAAGGAAGCCAGGAGACAGGTGAGGAAGGAGAGCATTCCAGGAATCGGGGACAGCCAGTGAAAATATAGTCAGGGGGCAGCTAGTGGATAGAGCACTAGCCCTGAAGTCAGGAGGACCTGAGTTCAGATCTGACCTCAGACCAAACCTTGACACTAGCTGTGTGACCATGGGCAAGTCACTTAATCCCAACTGCCTAAGAAAAATTTAAAAATGAAAATATAGTCAGAAGATGGGAGTGTTGGGTCATGGAACTGCAAGGAGATCAATGGAGCTGTATCATGGGCTACCTGGAAGAAAGAAGAGTGTAAAAAGACTGGAAAGGTAGGGAGGGACCAGGTTATGAAGAGCAGCTTTAAATGCCAAGCAAGATGTTATATTTGATCCTAGAGGTAATAAGGAGCCCTTGGAATTCATTGAGTAGTGGGGTGACACAGTCTGACATGCTTTGGGAGGATCAATTTGACAGCTGAGTGGAGGGTGGACTGGAGTGGGGAGAGAGCCAGGCAGGCAGACCCACCAGTGGGCAGCTGCAGTAGCCCGAACAAGAGGTGATAAGGGCTTACCCTACAGTGGTGGCAGTGTCAGAAGAGAGAAGGGGGCATATATAAGAAATGTTATGAAGATAGAATCAGCAAGCCTTGGCAGTAGATTGGATGTGGGGAAAGGGGGGTATAGAGAGCAAAGTGTCTAGAATGACACCTAGGTTGTGAGCCTGGATGACTGGAGAGCAGTGATGCCCTTGACAATGCTAGAGAGTCTGGGAAGAAGGAAGGATATGGGAGGAAAGAAAATGAGTTCTGTTTTGAACATGTTGAGTTTAAGATGTCTATGGGGCATCCAGTTCAAGATATCCAAGAGGCAGTTGGTGATGCATGACTATAGCTCATCAGAGACAAGGCCTGTATATTTAGAGATAGGAATCATTTGCATAAAAATGATAATTGAACCCAGGGGAACTGATGAAAGCAGAAATTGAAGGCAGCAGGGAGTTTTAGTCAATGTCTAGGTCAGTAAACACTTGCCAGTCAGGTCCCCAGGACCAGACTGCTCTCATACTCATTGCTAGTTCTGTGGCCCGATCCCAAGATGGGAGAAGATCACACACACTCAGAAGAAGCCCCACATATGAACTGCAAGCCTTGGTTTCCTGAACTCCTCAGTCCCCAGAAGGGAAGGCCCCCTGATACCTTTGGTGTCCTAAGGTTCAAGGTTACCCTTGACACAATGAGTGTCCTTTGGCACAGAATCTATCTAGAGTTGCTCCTGGAAGGCCTGGTTGCTCTATGGTGTGAGACATCAGTGGGGGCAGATAATGATGAGTGATGAGGCCCCCAGGGGCCAGACCAACCACCCTCAGTGCCTGCTCCTTAGCCTCATCCAGATGGCAGCAAACAGTGGACTAAGTGTGGACTAAGCACTTGGCAGCTGCTGTCTGAGTCCCTGGAAGTAAAGCTCCTCCTATAACTTGGGTATCTTGAGGTTCAAGGACTCTGGTAGATTCTCCAAGAATTGACAGAAGTCTGATTCAGTGACTGCATTTTTCTGAGTCAATAGCTCATTGAAGTAGGTTGCATCAAGGGCACCATGATCTCATATAGCACCCTCATCTTCATCCTTATTAATTGGTGTTCACTTTGACTTATCCTCTAACCAGCCAGTGGTCTAACTACAACATAGCCACCTGATTCTAGAATGACTCCTATGTCAGTAAGTTGTCCCCTATCTCTAGGGGAGACATTGTTCATTTTATTTTTTTGTGAGGTTGCTCAGTGCTCACCATGGCCAGGACTTTCTAATCCGTCTTGAAGAAAGTCAAGGCTTATGAGTAATTTACAAGCCTTTGGCCTCTTAGGTTGTTTAAGACCAAACTATAGTGTCCAACACACTTTCACCATCTTCCTCTGTGCCCACTTTTGGACTGAAGGTACTGAGTATCCAGCTCAATGCTGACCTGCTTGAGAAGGTCCTTTTGAGATCTTTGTAGACTTGCTTTGGAGCAATTATTGGAACACAATGATGGTCTCTTCACCCATACTCATCATATGTGAGCCTATAAAGCAAGGTGATCAAGGGACCCATGCTTGAATTATGCTTCCTAAATAATAATAATAATAATAATAATAAATATAAATATAAAAAAGAAATTTTAAAAAATTATTATGCATCTTGTTGACTTTGAACACTAGATGAAACCAGCTTTTGTACATCCAGGTCCTGAACAGTATGATTAATGAGTCCCCAGAAGTGATCACATTATTCCATTGGACTGGCACCAATTACCGTATTTTACATAATTCTAACTTTAAATTGTGTGAATCCAAATACATGCTACCACTTCCAGGGATTCATTTGTCACGCAAATTAGGACCTGACTGTATTCATCTCCCCAAGAACCTGTGAGCTGTCCTTCCTTTTAATGACAATTTCTTTGCCTTCTAATTTTACTATTAAAAATATATGGATATGATTTATTTCACCATCATCATCATCATCATCATCATAGCTAACAGTTATATAATGCTAACAATATGCCAGGCACTGCGCTAAGAACTTTATAATTATTATCTCATTCAACAATAATAATAATAGCTAATATTTATACAGCACTTACTATGTGCCAGGCACTATGCTAGGCTAGGTATCAAAGATACAAGCAAAATAGATCCTGCCCTTGAGAAGCACACATTTAATCAGGAGAGAAAACATGCACGTATATAGATACATACAAAACAGATATGACTTGGGAGGGTTGGGAGCCAGCCATAAAGGAAGACTACGTGTACAAAGTGTCAGTAGAGCCGAGAGGTCAAGGAGCCTAGGAATCCTGAGAGGTGGGAGGAATGAGTGAGAGCATTCCAGGCATGTACAAGAACCAAGATAAAGGCCCAGAAAAAGGGGAGAGGGGTGTCAAGTATGAGGAACAGTAAGAAGGCCGGTTTGACCTTGCAGTGAAGGGAATGATGTATCATAAGGCTGGAAAGGCAGGTTGAGGCCGGGTTGTAAAGAGACTAAATGGTTAGAAGGTTTTGTTGTTACATCCAACCTAAATCTGCCTCTCTCTCTGACATCTACCCAGTGCTTCTCATTCTGTCAATTGGGAGCCAAGAAAAACCCATCAGAATCCCAGAATTCCTCCTTTGGGAAGGGCCTCTGGAGCCACCTCCTCCAACCCAGACCTGAACAAGATGTCCCCAACAAGGCCTTGAAGGGCAGCCCAGGCCACTTTTGCATAGGTCTAAATCGGTAGGAAGTGGGGGGGTTTTCCCCTTATATCAGTCTCAAATCTGCCTCAGTCTTTTCTTTTCCGGGTGAAAACGCCCAATTTCCTTTCTCCCTGTTTAGTATGGTCTTGAGGTTCCTTGCCATGCCGATCATCCTCCTCTGGACACTCTATAGCCCATTAGTGTCTTTCCTAAAACTACAGCAGGCCTATCACCCTCCCTAGTCCTGAACACTCGGCCTTTCTTATAATGAAGTTTAAAATTGCATTCACTTTTTGGGTTGTTGTATCATACAGCTGACTCACATTGAGTTTTCCATCTACTAAAATCCTCTATCTTTTTCACACAAATCACTGTCTGATCAGGCCATGCCTGGCTTGTACTTATAAAGTCAGTTTTTGAACCCAGGGCTCCTAGCCTATGGATCCTGGCAAAATCATCCAGTCTAGTGACTTTGTGTACAGACTTGGTAAGCATGTCAAAAAAAAAGCTAAATGGCTCTGTGATTTCATCAGGATGGGTACTCCTTCTGCCATACAGACCAAAAGCTAGATTGATCTTCTTACACTTTATTCCCCTGCAGATACTATATAATCCAGCAACACTGGCCTACCTGGCATCCCTGCTCCATCTCCCACCTCAATGCCTTTGCCTAGCTGTGTCTCTCATGCCCTCTCACTTCCGCCTTTTATTTTCCCCTGACTTCTTTCAGAACTCAGCTCAAATCTCACCTAGAAGCCTTTCCCTATCTCTACACCCCCTCCTGGTACCTTCCTCTCTGAGCTACTTCCCATTTACCCTCTGTAGAGCTGTAAACGGATCTATACAGAGAATAGACCTATATTTATAAACCTCTGTATAGAAAGAAGATAGATAGATAGATAGATAGATAGATAGATAGATAGATAGATAGATAGATAGGAAGGAAGGAAGGAAGGAAGGAAGAAAGAAAGAAGAAAGAAGAAAGAAAGAAAGAAAGAAAGAAAGAAAGAAAGAAAGAAAGAAAGAAAGAAAGAAAGAAAGAAAGAGAAAGAAAGGAAGGAAGGAAGGAAGAAAGAAAGAAAGAAAGAAAGAAAGAAAGAAAGAAAGAAAGAAAGAAAGAAAGAAAGAAAGAAAGAAAGAAAGATAGATAGATAGATAGGATGGATGGATGGATGGATGGATGGATAGATGGATGGATAGATGGACAGAGAGAAAGAGAGATCTTCTATGTACCTAGTTATTTACATATTGTTTCCCCCATTAGAATGTGAGTTCCTTGTGAGCAGGGACCATGCCTGTCTTTCTTTGTATCCTCAGAGCTTAGCATATAGTAAGGGCTTAATAAATGTTTGCCAATTCATTGAATGGGTATTATCTACCCATTCTTTTCACCCCTTGTCTGTGCCCTTGCATATAAAGGGTTTCACCCTGTGCTGGAAACCTTGGTTTTTCTTCCACTTTGAAAGAGACCAGTGTCTTCCTGGTGGATATTCGCTGTTCCTCCCTAGTTCTCACTCATCTCCTTTTGTGCTCAAACATTTCTTTGTGAAAATCCTTCAGAATTCCTCATTTGTCATGTATTATCCAAATTACTGCCAAATATTAAACATCACATGGCCAAGCCCAGGATCTCTGGGCTCTCCACTGGCGTCCACTGGCGTTCCAAGCTGACATGGAACCATTGATGACCACTCTTTCACTCCAGCCATCCAACTCCTTCCCAACCCACCTAACTGTGCTGTTGCCCAGCCCATCTGTCTCTGTTTGTCCAGGGGGACATCATGAGAGATTTTGTCAGATCCTATGCTAAAGCCTAGTTAACCTATATCTATATCATTCCTCAGATATACTAGTTTGGAAACTGTCAAAAAATAAAAAATAAAAAAGCTAGTCAGTCATACGCTGTGATTGCTGCAACTGTGATGGTTCTATGTAACCACCTCTTTTTTTTTCTAATGTCCACCAGTCATCCCTTTCATAATATGTTGTAGGATTTTGGCCAGAGGTGAAGTCAAGCCTACTCAGCTGGTATTTTGAAAACTCTACGTTTTTGAAAATGTATTCATTCAATATGTATTTGTTAAGTACCTACTATGTGAAAGGCACTGTGCTAAACACTGAGTATGCAAAAGCAAAAAAAAAAATCATACCTGCCCTCAAGGCAGATGTTATCATTATTCTTACTAGTTAATTGATTATAATAGCTAGTATATATTTAGCACTTTTAGATGTGCAAGCACTTTGCAAATATTATTTAATCCTCACAACAACCCTGTAAAGTAGGTGCTATTATCCCTATTTGACAGATGAGCAAACTGAGGCAGACACAGGTTAAGTGACTTGTCTACTTTCATATCTTTTCCCATTTTTTCCTCTACCACTCTTATCTCTTTAACTCTTCTAGAAATTCTCACTGGGCTTGTGTCCAATCAGCATATTCTTTTGAGGCTTGTTGTCGTCTTCTGAGTTTATCTTGGTCTTCCCTGCTACCACAGCAGCTTTTTATGGTCAGTTCTTTTTCGTTGTTGTTGTTCACTCACTTTTCCTAGCCTGCTTCTCGACTTTGAACTTTATGTTAAAACTGGGCTCTGCTTACTTGGGGGCGGGGAGGCACTGTCTGTCTCACTGATGTCCTTGTCTCAATCATTAACCTCTCTGATGCATGTGATACTTTTGGCCACTCTCACCTCTCTGGTTTTTTGCGACACTCTTTGCTCTCCTCCTGTCTGAATGCTAGATTTGGAGTTAGAAGACGAGGGTTCAAATCTCTGCACTGCCTCAGTTTCTTCATATAAAAGAGAGGGACTGAACTAGAATGACTTCTCAGGTCCCTTCCAGCTCCTTGGAGGGAGGATAGGAAAGCCTTTGAACTTATCTACAAAGCAAGTCAGGACCAACTGGGCACTGAGTTTCTGGAAATTCTGTTCCTGGGTTTGCCACAGACTCACCATGGAACTCTGGGTAAGCCATTGCCCCTTCATCCTGAACCAGTTTCATCCTCAGGAAATCAGGGAGAGAATTCCACATGACTATGAAAAATAATTAAGCAAGAAGTGATTTAAAATCACCTTGGATAGAGAGCGGCCTGTTTCATTTTACATATTAGATATCCATGATATCATCCCCCTCAAGTACTCAGAAGAGGCACTGGGCTGATCTCTTTTTCTTTTTTTTAACTGTCCTAAAAACCTTTATTCTTACCTTGGCAATTAGTAGGGACATTGTGTGAAGCAGAGAAGGCAACATGAGATGGAAAGGATGTATGAGATATACACATTTCTAGCCTGAGGCCCACTAAGCATTTCACAAGAAGGGTTCATCACCTTTTTTGTGTCCTGGAACCATTAGACAGTCAGTCATCTGGTGAAGCCTCGGGACCTCTTCTCAGAATATTTTTAAATGCATCAAATAAAATACACACACAGGATTACAAAGGGAACCAATTATGTTAAAAGCTATCCAAAAACAATTTTTTTTTAAAGCTCATGGAGCCCAGGTGAAGAACTCCCCTGGTCTGTCTTAAGGGCCACAGTAGACACTAGTTTGACTGTGCTCTGTTAAATCAGGCAGTGCAGTGGATACAGCTCTGGACCTAGAGTCTGTAAGACCTGAGTTCAAATCCAACCTCAGACACTCATTAGCTAGGTGATCCTGGGCAAGTCACTTAATGTCTTGTCTGCCTCAGTTTCTTCATCTGCAAAATGAGAAAAATAGCATCCATCTCCCTAGTTTATTGAATCAAATGACATTTCTATAGAGCTTAGCACAATGCATAGCATATAGTAGGTGCTGTATAAATTCTAGCTATCATTATCATTATTATTATATCTGCATGGGAGCAAGGGATTACTCTTTTTCGACACCACCATCTAGGAATCTTCCATAGCCTGGTGTTCCTCGTATAGTCCCCGGGGCTGCTGCTGGCCCATTTCCCAACCCATAACCTTGTGCTTGGCCTGTGCTCTAACATCCTGGGGCCGGTGGCTGGACAGCAAACAAGAATTTCCCAAGCCAGTCTTACGCGAGCTTTGCCTTTTCTTTCTCCGTGGTCTCATTGTCTCAAACACATTCTGTTGCGTAATTCTAAGACCCTAAAGTGGCCGATGAGTTGCTTACCATCAATGGAGGGAGTTTCCACAGCAGGAATTCTTTACTTTGATGAAATCACAGGGTCAGACAGAAAAGAAAAGAAAAAATTAGTCTATCACATGGGACTGGATGTTAAGAAATGCTGGTTAAGAAATGTAGAGGGAGGACTAGTGGAACCTTTCCATGGGGAACTCGTGAGTCCTGGGGCCACGTGAACTGGCATCTGCAAGGTCACTAAGACTGGCCTCCCAGAAGTGTGGGACAGCAGAGAGAGCACTGGCATTACGATACGGAAACCCAGATTCAGTTCAAATCCTGGCACGGACTGTCTTGTGTGGCCTTGAACAAGACGTTTTTCTTCCTTTGTTCTCAGTTTCCCTATCCGTAAAATAAAGGGGTTTGACCAGAAGTTTACTAGACTGCCTCCCAGCTCAATATCCTATGGCCTTAAGCAAGTTCATCTTCAATTCCATTTGATAAAAATGCATTTTTCAGGCTGCTTCTGTGATCTGGTGCCTTCTGGTGATACCCCAATTCTTCTGACAACTGGTGGCAATTCTCAGATTGAAGGCAATCTTGGACGTTGGCCCTAAACTAGCAGGTGAAGCCTGTGCCAGGTCCAAGAGGGGGCCCCAGGCCCCAATGCTCCCAAGTCCAGGGCTTCAGTCTTAGCTTCCTCTCCACCGCTGGCAAGTGAACCTTTTTAGAGCTCAGTGGAACGGGGGTCAGCTGTGCCACTGCTTCCCATTCCCTGCCCCTTTAGCCCCCAGGGCACCAAGGGCTTGTCCCCCTACCTCAGCACAAAATGAGAATGCCTAAGGAGTCAAATTATGTCAACAAGCACTTCCTCTGGGACAGACCCTGTACTGGGTGCCAGGGATACAAAGAGGCAAAAACAGTCCCTGCCCTCAGGGAGCTCATGGTCTAATGGGGGAGGGGAGAATGACATTAAGGACAGCTAAAGGGGAGAGCTGAGTGGTGAGGCTCTGCTTTGTCTTCTCTGCCCCCCCCCCAGTTAAGACTGGACGAGGCCCAAGAAGCCGAGTGCCAGGCCCTGAGGCTGCAGCTACAGCAGGAGATGGAGCTGCTTAACGCTTACCAGAGCAAAATCAAGATGCAGACGGAGGCCCAGCATGAGAGAGAGCTCCAGAAGCTGGAGCAGAGGGTGTCTCTTCGAAGGGCACATCTTGAGCAAAAGGTGCGTAGCCCGGGGGCTGCTCTGAGCCAAGAGCCCTCCCTTGGGGAGCCCGGGATCTGGGAGAGCCTGAACCTGCCTCACAAAGGCAGCCTAGCCTGGGGGGGGGGGGGAGAGCCCAGGACACTTGGGTTCTGTGTCTGCCTCTGATGTGAGCTGGGCCTCAGTTTCCTCATCTGTAAAGTAACGGTGCTGGACTATGATCCTTACAACCTTACTTAGCTGTTTGACCCTTGGAAATTTGCTCTCTGGGTGACCCTGGGCAAATTTCTCCACCTCTCAGCCTCAATTTCTTGATCTGTGACATAAGAGGGTCCCTTTCTGGCTAGAAATCTAAGATCCTTAGACCTAACAGTGTGACCCTGGGCAAGTCACTTATCCCTTCTGGGCCTGTTTCCTCCTCTGCAAGATGAGGGGGCTGAATTTGATGGCCTCAGAGGTCCCTAGTAGCAAAGGATCTATGCAATCCTGCGATGTGTGAGGTCCTGTTGGGAGGGATGGAAGCCTCCAGCTCAGGTCCCTGCTGACCCCATAGGACCCTGGCTGACTTGTGCTGAGCAGGCTGTGGGTGGGCGGAGGGGTGGGCCTGCTGGGAAAGAGACCAGCCCCTATGTTTGTTTCAGATTGAAGAGGAGCTGGCCGCCCTTCAGAAGGAACGTAGCGAGAGGATCAAGTTTCTGTTGGAAAGACAAGAGCGTGAGATTGAAACTTTTGACATGGAGAGCCTTCGAATGGGATTTGGGAATTTGGTTACACTAGATTACCCTAAGGAGGACTATAGATGAGATTAAATTTTTTTGCCATTTACAAAAAAAAAAAAAGAAAAAAGAAAATTAAAACCCTGCAAAACCACATTCCCCATTGGAACGGGCGTCGCTCTCGCTCTCTCTCTCTCTCTTACTCTTACTGACATCGTGTCGGACTAGTGCCTGTATATTCTTACTCCATCAGGGGCCCCCTTCCTCCCCCCGTGTCAAGTTTCAGTGCTGGCCACCCCCCGGCCCACTCTTTTATTCATAGTACGTCACAGTATTGATGTGATTATAAAATGTTTCAGTGAAAACTTTGGAGACAGTTTTAACAAAACCAACAGATCAACAAATAATTTTTTTAAACTGGATGTATGTTTCTTTAAAGCAATCACTCATTACCACCAACCTATGAAAGTCAAGCAAAAAAAAAATAATGAAAAAAATTCTAAATGCCAAGGGGGAGAGAGACTCAGTATCCGCAGCCTTACACCTTAAATAGCTGCTGCATTCTTTCTTTCCTTTTCTTTCTCTTTCTTTCTTTTTTTTTTTGGTATTTATTCATCAGGAATTTAAAAAAGTTTTATTAAAGATTGAGAAATTTGATACATTTTACAGAATCTAATTGTGATGTACATATCAGTGGTGACATATTAATTACTTTTTTGGGGATTGGGGTGGGGAGGGGGGGTGGGCGGGGTGGGCAGAGATATTGTGATTTTTAAGAACCTGCTGGCAAGGGTTTCACTTGCCTTCAGCATATTCTGATTGTATCATAATCATTTTCTGCTGTTGCAGAGGATGTGAATACATTTAAAGAGCTCACAGATTCCCAGTAGCACAAATTGGGCTTAAGCAAATCGTGTATTTTGTGTATAGAAGGAATTTAAGGAGAGGTATGACTTATTTTCATATTGTATTTTAACTGTTTCTCTGATCAAATTTTTTTACTTCCTCCTCCTCGTCCTCTTCCTCCCCCCCCACCCTTTTTCCAATTCAATATTTGGAATCCAACACTGTCTCTCAACCAGATGACCTTTATCTTTTTTTCTTTCTATCTCCCTCCCCGCCTCCCGTGACCCACAATCCCATCTCTTGGTCATAAATATTACATTATTCACACTTTCAAACTGTGTATTTTCTTACAATAAAAAACGGTTTAAAAGAAATGCTTTACTTCTTTTGCATGCACTTTAAAAAAACAAACAAAAAACCCTTTTCAGGTTCCAAGAAGAGCATGATAACTGTCAGAGCTTTTAATTATATTTGTAAATAAAAGTGTTCATCACAATGTCTCCCTGTGTCATTGGAGGAGGTTTTGCTTTCAGCTTGCCCTGGGGGCACTTCTTGAAGCCCGAGGAGAGGAGACCCACCCCCACCATCCTCTAGAAATGTGGGCATTTTCTGGGTCTTTCCTGCTCCCTAAGTGGCATCGAATAGGGCTGTTGGGTCAACTTGTATGTTCTGGGACCTACGGGAAGGCCAGGAGCCAGGGTCAGACTCTGCCCTGGAAAGTACAGAAATGGGGGTGGAGCGGAGGGAGAAATGACCGCCTCTACAGGTGACACCCTCCTGTCATCGCCCTGGAGCGGCTTCTGGGCCATTCTGTCTGGTCCTACCCTGCTGGGCCAGAGAAACCTTCAAAGATGGTACTGGGGGATGGACTTTCAGTCTGGCATCGAAGAACCAGCTTAGCCAAGCTCACTAGATTGGGTACCACCATCGATTCAGCCCTGAGCAGATGGCCACACACTTCACTGGAGGGAGAAAGCCAGAGAAGAGGTATGTGGGCAACTTGGCATCAGTCCCGGGGAAAGAAGTGGGAAGGGGCTGGAAGCTCAAGCCCCGGGCACCCTTGTGACCAAATATTATTGATGGCCTACTGGTGGAACTGTGGCTAATGGGTTTTTCCCATTGGTCCTTGAGTCAGATTCAGATCCTGCATTGTATCTGACACGTCGTGGGCCTTACTCTCTCTGTCTCTCTCCCCTCTGTTTCTGTCTCTGTCTCTCTCTCTCTGTCTCTCTCTCTGGAATCAAAGAGGGTCGATAAAATTCCAGGGAACAGGGAAGCATGCTAACAGAAAGGCGATGGACTCGGGGTGCAGAATGAGAAAACTGCTTCTGAACAGGACCAACAGAGAAAATGTGTTCTGTTTGACTCTGCGTGTTCGGGGGGCGTGGGGAGGGGGGAGAAAACAGATTTTTGTCTTTAAAAATTTTTAAATAAACTGAAGGTGGTAGACTGCATGCCTCTGAAGTCCCAGTTCCAGAGCTGTGATCCTATAGAAAAAGCACGGAGCTTAAATGGCCTGTCCCAAACCTCCCACTCTCCTGGGCCTCATCAGGCTCTGCCAGGACAATCAAACTGAGAGCACTGAGACCCTGTGAGATTTCCATTCGTTAAAGAAATAATAGCTACCATGTACAGGGCGTCTTGTGGTGTGCAAAGTATCTTAAGGCTATTAGCTCAGTTAGTCTGAGGAGTTGGAAAGACCTGAGTTCAAGTGCCCCTCTTTGACATGCCAGCTTGTGACCCTGAGCAAGTCCCATAACCTCTAAGGCAACTCTAGGAGTCTGCTGGTGGTGATCCTCATTGGTGGAGTTTCCTCAGCTGAAGTCCCTCTGAATCAAATCACCATGAGGTCCAAAAAAACCACTAAGGTAGGACAGCAGGCTCAGGCACCTTTGAAAGATGTTCTTCTATCATCAGCCTGAAAATTAAATCAATCCATCCCTGGCCTGTCATTCTGTTAACTGATGTTTGTCTGTATCTAGCTACAGTATATGCCCATACCCGTGAAATGGGTATAAACTCAGCAGTCATTCTCCTGGGGCCGAAGAACATTTTGTAAACATTTCCATAACTATTGGTTCCCTTTCTAATCCAATCTTGTGTTTTATTTTATGTATTTAATTACCTGATTCTGAGGAGGGGGCCCCAGGCTTTGCCAAATGGCCGGGGGGAGGTACATAAGGCATGGGCCACTCTTGGCCTGACTCGAGCCTTTCTGTCCCTGCCCCCCTCCAAGAAGCAGACAGTGAACCTAACTCAGTCATGACTTTGCTTCTCTTTTTTCTGACTAGAGAAAGACAGTCGCCCCACGTCCACACTCTTCACCCCACCCCACATCTGCACCATCGCTGGGGTGCCATGCTGTGCCAAGGGGAGGGCAGAGGCAAACAGGGCTTGGGCCGCAGTGACCAGAGGAAGCAGGAGCTCTGCGGGCACACCTGTGGCCCGTGGATAAAATGAGTTAACATTGACAAAGCACTTGGGAGCTCACAGAGTGTCTGACCTGTTGTTATCTCACTGCTTCCTAATCTCATGCTTGGTGACTGGCTGGCTGGGCCCCCGCTGGTCTGGCCCTGAGGCTGTTTCCCTACTGCTGAGAGGGAAGATTCTGCTCAGTTCTCATCCCCTTGACAGCCCCCACCATCCTGGTCCATTTTAGCTGGAGTGTGTTTGGTCCAAGGTCCCAAACAGGCTAAGATGGGGCGTAGCATGGACAGAGGCTGCAGCTAAATAAAAGTGAAAAACGGTTAAGAGTCCAAGGGCAGCAGGACTTTTATCAGTTCAGATTGTACAAATTATCTAGGGATCAGAGGGTCACAGATTACACGCTGGCAGGAGCTTGTCATCTAGAACAAATTCCTTGTGTGACTCTGGGGGCAAGTCACTAAGCCTCCCTGGGGGCCTCAGTTTCCTTGCCTGTAAAATCAGGTCAGATTAGATGGCCATTGAGGACTCTGCCAGCTCTCAATCTATGTTACTTCATTTTACCGATGAGGAAACAGGCCCAGAGGTAAAGAGACTTAATTAGTGTGGAAGGGAGCAGAATGCTTGAATCATAGTAAACTAATTCTCTTAATGACTGACTCAACTCGGTAAGGGAGGTGATGACAGCTGCATTGCTGGCTAAAACCCGGCTTTCAGATGATCTGTGGTCCTTGCTGATCCAGGTTCCCAAGTGATCGGATGTGAATTCAAATTCGGCCACTGACCCATCACCTTGGGCAAATCACTTCCCCTCTCTAGGCCTAGATGGTTGGAGTAGATGGCCTGTTGCCCCCTCCTGCTAGAGATCTAAGACCCTATGACCCTCTGGCTACCTGGGGGCATGGGCTTGCTGGCGCCTTGAACTGAAGTGAATTAAGTAACACTTGGAGAGGGCGGGAGGGACCAAATAGGAACAATTTAAAAACAATCAAACTATCAACATTTATTAAGGGCCTACTGTGTACCAGTCACCCCGGCAGGCTCTGGGGATGCAAACACAGACAGCAACAACCCCTCCTCTCAAGGATAAGAAGTAACCCAGGACGCCATCTAAGAGGAGACAGCCCTGGGTAGGAAGGGCCTTCTGTGACAGCACAGTCTGGAAAAGGTTAAGGGCTAGGAAGTGCAAGACAGCTTAGTATTTGTATATAAAACATTCCCAGATGAAGGGAGCAGGGATCCCTGGCTGTGCCCAAGGCACTTCCCCTTCTCGCAGCCTGTTTCCTCCAGAAAATGAGGGGTTTGGACAGAATGACCTTTAGCTCTCAGGCCTCTGGCCAAGTATTAACCAGGCTCTTTGGTCTGAGGCATGGTCCCCTATCATAGGGACCAAGAAACTCAATCCATCCTGACAAAGACGCCATTGTTTCGGCTCTTTCTTGCTGGAGAGTAAAATAAAGCTTTTCTACTACTAACTCACCTCCCTTCGCACACACAAGCACACACATGGCATTGTTTCAGGATCACCACAGGCTGCCATGAAGCACCTTGAGCAGCCCGCCCACCTCCAGCCGCTGCCACCGCCACCACCACCCTGGCAGCACGTGTGCGCACGGGACACCCGCAGCTTTGGCCCCAATCCCTGGAATGCCTGACGGCGGCGGTTGGGTGAGACTGAGTTATCCTGCGGGAAATCAATCCTTTCAAAGGAAAACCATGCTCGACAATATCCAACAGCATTCTGTCTGACGCATTTCTGCAGGTCTTCCCATTCATTAAATAAAAGGAAAGGCCCTCCAAAATTACAGCTGTTCTTTCCGCATAGTGAATGTAAGCTCCTAGAGGGCAGGAGACTGTTTCTCCTATTTCTGACTGTCCCATGAGCCCAGCAGTGCCTAGTATACAACAGTCACTCAATAGATGCTTGGCGAGTAAAGGATGGCCCTAGTAAGAAAGGCTTGGGTTTGGCTGCTAGCTCAACAATGGAATAGGCAGTATGGCCTTACGCCTCAGTTTCCTTGCCTATTGGGGGGGGGGTTGGACTTGACCTTTGAGGTTGAATAAGCTGTGTTCTTTTGGAGGGCTGCCAGACCCTCTCGGGCTGCCCCTCATTTTGCAGAAGGACATAGTGGCCCAGGGAAGTGACCTGCCCAGGGTCCCGCAGATCAGGGTCCTGGCCAGAGCTAGGATGTGAACCAAGCTCCTCTCTGCGGACTTAAAATCTCGTCACGAGACTCCTGCCAGACCAGTCACTAAGTCAGCGCCCCTGTCTCAACCTCGCTTCCCTCCCCGGTACAATGAGGGTGCTAGATCCGTGCAGTTTGGGGTAGCAGAGGCCCCCTAATCCAACCACCTCCTCGGACAAGGCCAGTGAGTTCAGTGACTTGTCCAAGGTCCTACAAGGAGGACATATCAAAGTCGGGGTTGACCCAGGTTCCCCTGAGGCCAGCTGCCTTTGTGGCTACCTGCAAAGAACTGTGAGAAGCTCCCTCCAGGTAACAGGAAGCCCTTCCACAAGGAGCACACACCCCCGGCTTGCAGCAGCACTTTGTGTGGAGAGAAAAAATAATCAGGAGGCAGCCAGGGTATTCCATTCTTTTAATTCAACAAGAAGCAAACAGCAGAAATAAACACAAATGTTGGTAAGTCAGGTCCTGCTTCTCTTACGACAAAGATTTGCAGCAGATTTAACAGCACAATGTGAGCACAGCAAACATGTCTAACCCAGAAATGAGGACTCACCCAGCCATGCACACTTCTCAACTGGGGGATGGGGAGGGAAATGGGAGTTTAGTTAAACCCACCCCTGCCTTTCCAGCTGCAAACGACACAAATGGACCCACCAAGCTGCTTCCCAATGAAATAAGAGACCAAAGGCTGGTTTAAATCCCCTTAAAATCTTTTTAAACAAGGAAGCATTGACCAAGAACCCCACTAATCTGGTTCTCTTGGAAGAGAAAACTTTCCATGAAATAGGATCTTGGACCCTCCAAAATCAGTTTCTGTCCATTAGGATCTCAGAAGAAAAGGATGTGACACCAGGGACGGGATGCACAAAGATTTAACAAAGATAGCGGAATCTCAACATTCTACCTATGTTCAGCTATCAGCATCTTTACCGATTATTTGTATTTCTCCACCAGGATGCTAGAATCAGATCATGACTTTCACTAACATCTCAATTCCCTCCCCCTCCCCCCACCAAGCCAGAAGCTGACATCACTGAAAACAAGTTCCCATGTCCTACACCCAGGGCCCCCCTCCCCCCATCAGAAGGAAAAGACTCCATGCCAGTAGGTGAGTAAGGGGGAGGGGGCATCTGCTCACACCACCCCTGAGATGCCACTGCCTGGGGAGGGGTCATGTGATCACAGGGCCTACTTCCCTGCCAGCTGCTCGTAGAGCCGGGGCACATAATCGTCCCATTCAGCCTGGTAGCACGTGCCAGCGACAGGGGGCCCGAGCTTGTACTTGCCACGGAAGGCAGCCACCTTGAATTTGCCCCGGTGGTCCCCGGAACGGTTGCTCAGGATACGTTCATCACATTTGAGTGGCCCATTCTGCTCATAAACCAGCCACACATAGCGGTGAAGACCTGGGGGAAAGGCAGAGGGCAGATATGTGGGCACAGCTGGCAGTGCCAAATAATGCCACCCATGGGGCCCGCAGACTGAGCCTATGATTTCTTCCCATCTCCCCCTTAGCAATCCTGCCTCTCCCACTTCTGGATGTGGGCGATCTAAGAGCAAGTCTGAGCTGATGAAAGGCTCGGGGAGCCCTGTTCCCACCACCCAGCCTAAGAGCAGCAGGGAGGAAGCCCTCCTGAGCTGCCAAGGGCCACTTTCTGCTCAGCCAGGATCACAGGGCCACACCCAGCTCCAACCAGCTGGATCTCATAGCACAAGGAGCTTCCAAGTTCTGCACAAAGTGGGCTGGCAGGTTTTTTAATGACAGCACAACTCCTAATTGTGAGAACGGCCCTTCTCCTGTGGATCTTTCCATAATTAAACCACCTAATTTGATAACCGCTGCAGAGAAATGAGTGGATCCCAGGGAGATGCACCCTCTCCTCTCTATCTGGCCAGCACTGCAGGGCAAGGCAAACAGGTGTCAGCAGTCACTCAGGAAGGAGCCCTTCCTGAAGCCAGTCAGGCAGCCATCTGTGATGTAGACTGGCTGCCTCCAGCAGCAATCTGCAGGCGCCCCACCCCCAGCTTTCTTCTTGTTCAGGCCCCAGGAGGGTTCTTCACCTTGGGTGTGTCCTGGAGCCCTGGGGGGGGGTCTGGGGAAGCCCAGGGACAGACCCCTTTTCAGAAACATGTTTTTAAATGAATTGAAAAAAATACACTGGATTACAAAGGATACTCATCATTCTTAAATAAGGATGTACTTTTCTATCCAAGTTCACAGATTCCCCAAAATTCCTCCAGAGACCCCAGGATGGGCTGGGGGTAAAGGGCTCTTGGACCCCAGGTTAAGCAAAATGAGATGATAAGTGAAAGCATTTAGCACAGCGCCTGGCACACGATAACTGCTTTCTAAATGTTTGCCACCGTCACTATTCCTGCCATTCTCTGGCCTTGAGCTGGCGAATATCTGATCCTCAGAGCTCTTACAGTCCAGGGTCATCTCCAATACCACGGGATTCCCTGGACACCCCCCCGCCCCCCACCTAAGCTCTTCAAACACTGGCTGCAGATGACCAGCGTTCAAATCTTGCCTCAGACACTCACTGCCTGTGTGACCTTGGGTGAAGAACCCAAGAGGAAACATCAGCACCTTCAGCAGCAGCTGAAAAGCAGAGGTCACGGGTGGAGAAACAGTGGGAGCAAGGCTCTGGCTTCCATGAAGTCAGTCCATCAGTGGCCAGCCCCCCCCAGCTGCTCCACAGGCCCCCCCACCCCCACCCTGCTCACCATCCCACCCTGCCTGAGCCTGGGTACCTGCTCCACACACAGACAAACCGATGTGGTGCCAGATAAGAGCAGCCACGCCTGGCAGCAGAGGACTCAGAGCCAGGGCCTTCAAAGGGAGAGGGATGTGGGTGGGGAAAGGGGGAGACAGCTCTCATCATCAAGGATGACTGAAGCAGTGGGGAAAACCTGACATTCTTTAGCCAGAGGATGAGGGGTCAAGTTTCAGCTTCATGACTTAACACCGTCCCTCTGTGACTCTGAGCTGGTCACTTCCTAACAGGTGTGCTATGACGACCCCATTTCATGTAAATCTTATCTCCATTTTACAAACGAGGAGACTGAGGCACAGAGAAGGTGACCTGCCCAGGGTCACACAGCCAGGAAGCATCTCTGGGCTAGCTTCATCAAGTATGACAGGAGGGAGGGGGTTGAACCTGCAGGCAAAGCCAGGCCTGGAGGTGGGTGGGGTAGGGAATGGCAGGGTGCAGGGAGACACCCAGTCTGGCACACACACGCGCGCGCGCACACACGCACGCGCGCACACACACACACAGGCAGCACTGTCTAGTTATCTGGCATGTCCGTCAATGTGCTACAGGGCATTCCTCAAGGGCAGGAACTTTCATTTCTGTCTCGGCCTCCCCATTACTCCACACGGTGTGTGGCACAAAGTGGGCGCTTCATGAAGGCTTGCTGAATGACAGGTTTGAACCCTGGTCTTCTGATCCTCCTTCCTTAGTACCAGGCTGCAAGGGCACAAGGAATGCCACGTGAGGAGCCCCCCACGGGCTCTGAGCCCTCTGCCGCCAGGCGTGGCTGCTCTCATCTGGCACCACGTCGGTTTGTCCGTGTGTGGAGGTCTGCAGGCAGAGGCCAGAAGCCAGGGCTTCCTGAGAGGCCCCTTAGGGAAGGGATGCTGCTTGGGCAGGAGGGACATGGGTGAGCCCCAAGACACTGCCAGGAGCCAAGGACAGCTTCTTCTAAGACTTCCTTGCACAGAACTGCCAGTGTGTAAAGTCCCTCCAGTAATGATACACAGCTCATCTACAACTCTGAGCCAACTCCTCCAGAGCCAATCTCGCTCTGACATCCCCTGTTCTGAGGCCCCTCCCAGCTCTGACATCCCCTGTTCTGGGGCCCCTCCCAGCTCTGACACCCCTGTTCTGGGGCCCCTCCCTGCTCTGACATCCCCTGTTCTGAGGCCCCTCCCAGCTCTGACATCCCCTGTTCTGAGGCCCCTCCCAGCTCTGACATCCGATGTTCTCAGGCCCCTCCCAGCTCTGACATCCCCTGTCCTGAGGCTCCTCCCAGCCCTGACATCCCCTGTTCTGGGGCCCCTCCCAGCTCTGACATCCCCTGTTCTGAGGCCCCTCTCAGGTCATCCAGGAACCTACCATGCACTAGACTGTGCATTCAGAGCCATTTGCCAGTGGAAGCCAGACAGAGCACATGCTCAGGCCCAGAAGCAGCTCCAGACTGACTCCTGACTCACCTGTTCCCTTGGGGGGGCCAGAGCCCACGTAGTCTGAGAGGACATCTCCGCTGCTGATATCACTGCCTCTCATGTTGACCACCAGGAAGTGGTGCCACTCCCTGAGGTAAGAAAAGAAGAGTCAGAACTGGAGGACGCTCTTGTCCATGCCCCCCAAGGCCAGCTCTCCCATCCCGGCCCTCAGAAGCTGCAGACCCAGGAAAGGCTCTGCCAGGCCACGTCACTGTCTCTCATTCTCATAGCAGAAGCAGACGGGAGGAATAGAGGGAAGGTCTGAGAAGCTGGCTGGACAGGGGAGCCTGTGGACGTGGCCACTGCCAGATCAAAGCCTCAACCCATGACTGGGGTGCCTGTGAGGTTGAGGAGCGGCTTCTTCCCTGGGGGCCTTTCTGGGTCACAGGACCCTAGAGCTGGAAGGGACATGAGAGGACACCTAGTCCAACCCCCCCATCTTACAGATGACAAAGCTGAGGCCAGAGGAGTCAAAGTGACCTGCCCAAAGTCAGAAGTGAGTTTGTGACGCAGGATCTGAAGCCAGAGATGACTCTCTAGGAGCAGCACCCCCATGACCTGCAGCTGGGCCTGCGGCTGCCCAGAGGAGCCGTGGCAGGAGGCCGGCCCTGCAGGGGCCCGCCAGGAAAGGCTGACCCACCCTTCCCTCAGCCAGTCCTCTCTAAGCCGGCTGAGGGTGTGGAATGAGATTCTGGACACGGTCACAGGAGGACTGCTCATGCTGGACTCGCCTTCCTTGTTAGCAGGGCTTTCTGGCCTCCTTTTGTTTTCCCAATGGGAAGGATTTGGGGTGAAGGGAGAGGGAGCAGAAGGAAACAGGACAAGGAAAGACAGTTCAAAAGGTAACATGGTGATTATTATATGTTTTTCAAAAAGAAAATGGAGCAACAAAAATAGGTCAATTTGTGTGCAAAAAAAAATTGTACCAAATTAAACGCAGTGACAGCAGTCCATGGCCTCTGAGGCCTGAGTCAGCTTTAGCTCTGGGGTCCGATGCATCCCATTCCAGTCATCACCATGGATAAGTCACTTTAATCTGAGCCTCAGCTTCCTCATCGGTAAAAGGGGTATAACAACATTTCCAAAAGCCAGTTGTGGAGAAAGCGGGTGACCAACCTTAAGACAAAGCTGTGAGCTCTACAGAACTCTTCATGTAGTTTCATCAGATCCTCCCAACAGGCCCATCAAGCAGATGAAGAAACTAAGAGACCTTAAGTGACTTGCCCACACAACCAGTAGCTGAGAGGCAGGATCTGAACCCAGGTCCTCCTGACTCCAAGCCCAGTGTTCCCTGCATCTCTGGGGTGACTGATGACGTGCTAGAGCATCGCCACCACCTTGTTTCTAAGGGCTGCTTGGACAAGGCCATCCTGTGCTCAAAGTCAAGCTACTCCCTGGGGCTCGTGGGGCCTGGCACCATTCCAAGGACAGCCAAGAGCTACAGCTGGGAGCAGCGGTCACCACCAGCCTCCGACTCACCGGAATTTGGGGTCCTTCCTGCTGGGAGCATCTGGGTCTGTGAGGACCAGAGTGTAGAGCTTCGAGGGGTCACAGCCCTGCCATCCAATGCTGACCGGACGGCCCTTCACCTGCAGGGAAATGACCAGTCGTCGGCCGTCAGGCGGCAGGGGCGGGGGGAGGAGACAAACCAACAGAGCCCCTCATGTACGTTCTCGGAGCTGAGCTCTGGCAGGGGATCATCAAAGACAATGATCTCCCACGTGTGAACCATGACAGCAGGGCACGTCCCCAGCTAAGGTCAGGCAGCCCTCTAACCTCCAGGACGGCCTGTTCTCTGGGCCCTCCCCAGCAGCAGGCAATGCTACTTCACCAAAGAGCATGCACAACATCAGACTCTTTGCAGAGGGCAGGAAATCTGGAGAGGCCTCTCCTTTGCCTGGCTTTTCCCTCGCCTGCTCCCATCGACAGAATGGAAGCTCCTTGAGGGCAGGGCTGTTTCATTAACCTTTGCATCCTCAGCACCTAGCAGGTGCTTAACAAATGCCTGCTGACAGCAGCTCATACTTCAAGGGCATTTTCAGGTTGAAGAGGACACCCCACAAGGCAGGGGAATATCAGTATTTGGGCCATTTTACAGAGAAGGAAACTGAGGCGCAGAGAAGTTAATGACACATGCAGGATCACAGTGCTCATAAACATCCAGCCTAGACTCCAGCTGTGGACCCTGACAGTGTGGTCTGGACCACAAGGTCCACCCTGAAGTTCGTAAATGGGAGAGAATGGGGCGATTGGCACAGATGGCCCCAGAGGTCCCTTCCAAGCCCAGGCCCGGGAGCTTATGAGAATAATGGTAACCAGCTACCCCTATCACACTTTACAATTTATAATGTACTTTTCTTCACAATAGCCCTATGAAGTTGGGCATCCGGCCCAGCTTCATCTTCACCCTTAAAACTGGGTGGCAAGAATGGTGTGGCGGCAAAGTCACAGACTTGAAATCAGAAGTGCTGAGTTCAACTTGTATGATCCTGGGCAAGTCACTTAACCTGTCTGCCTCGGCTTCCTCATCTGTAAAATGGGGATTGTAAAGAGCCCCCGCCTCCTAAGGCCATTGTGAGAATCTTATTGTATAACACGTGATAAGCTTTGCAAAACTAAAGCACTATATAAACACTAGCCATTCTCACCCATTTTACAGAGGGCACAACTCCACTTTAGGCAAAGGGACTTGTCCAAAGTTACACCAATTGAGTGAGAGAGCTGGAAATTAAGCCCAGACTGATGCCGAGGCCTATGACATACCGCCCTCAGCCTACAGTAACAAAGGGTCGCGCTGCTCCCTGCTCTCCAGTGCCCAAGAACCAGGGCACCGCCTCAGTGCCCTCTAAGGTTTAGGCCCTGGTTTTCTCTATCCACTCACTCTGTTATGCAGCAGGAGACAGAACATCACTGCCGCTGCTGAAACACAGGTGCCAGGGACCTTATCCCCACCCCCACCTGACAAAAGGACTTCTTCCCCGTTCCAGAAGCAGCCAGACGCTGCCGGCAAGAAGGGGCCTGAAGGGGCCTGAAAGGTCGTGGATTTGTGTTTTCTCTCTTTCTCAGCAGGAGAGGGAAGGAGGGGAGGCTGCAAAACTGATTCAAGCTGTTCAGCAGAATATTTATTAAAACTGCTGCCAAAAGATGTCCCAAGCAGCAACTTTTGCCTCAGCCACTGCAAAGACGTGGAATCTCATGACGTGGGTTGGAATCCAGGTGCTCCAATTTACTGGGGTGACCTTGGGCAAACCCCTTACCTCCATGAGACCTCAGTCTCCTTACGTGTATGGAAAGGGGGGGGCAAGGAGGCCCCGAGCTGAGGGGCCTTCCAGCTCTGAATCCTATGATTCAGACCCAGCTTAACTACTTCTGGAAAAGATATCTCGTGCTGGTCTCCATTCACTTGCTCAGTGACAGCAAGTCACCAGGGGCAGGGAATTCAAAAGCATAAACTCTGCTTTTTAAAGGGATATATATGAATCTATCTATATCTATGCCTATGTATATCCATCTATCTATCTATATACTTATACACACACACACACACACACACACACACAGGTTTAAAATTGGGGTCAAACCCTTCCAGGGAACAAGGGAACTGCGGAGAAAAGTCAGCAAGTCAATAAACATTTATTCAGCCTTACAATGTGCCAGGCACTATGCTAAGTGCTGGTGCCTATGGCTCTGCGTCCTCGACTCAATCAGGGATCAACCAATAAGCTTTTATTACAGGCACTGAACAGTAAGTCAATAGACATTTATTAAGTACTGGGTATACGAACACATAAAAGAAAGTTCCTGCCCTCGAGAGCTTACAATCTAATAAAGGAGTCAACATATAGACTACTGTGTACACACACACACACACACACACACACACACACGAATGGAAATAACCGAAGGAGAAAAGGTACTACAATTAAGGAGGACTTCCAAGTCTCGTGAAGAAGTTGTTGGAATAGACGTTTCCTGATTCCCACAACCTCTCAAGCCTCCAAAACAGAAATTATGCACCAAAGATAAAGCAACTTCAGCTGTTTCAATGGTTTAGGATAAAATGAACTGACACTCACTCACCCTGAGCCCACTCAGCCCCCTCCCTATCTTCCTAAGGACATAAGGCTGCACCCAAGGACTCATGTGTTTGGGGCTTGGAAGAAAAGCCAAACCCACACCCCATCCCCCTCCCCCTCTCCAGTGTCACGGCTGCTCAGGTAGCTACAAACAGCCAGTGCAGCAAGCGGCCGCCCTTCAGGGCCAAACGCCTGATGGGGACCACGACCCTACGGCACCAATGCTGGTGCCAGGGTGGCCAACCCCACAGCACCAGCGCGGTCGCTCTCTGAACTAAACAGAGAGAGGAGGACAGGAGACTGTCTCATGAAAGGGGCAACTGGCACTCTCCTAAGCCTGAGGGACCAGTTCTGACCACCTATGGGGCACTCGGGGTAGAGCTCTACACTAGCGAGCCATGAATGACCCAGCATGGGAGCTTTAAGGGCCAGCCCCTAAGAAAACCACCATCAGAGGGGACAGAAATCAGAATCAAAAAGTAAACTGAGGAAAACGGGGCGAGGGGGCTGAAATTACCAAAGATCTAAGGAAGAAAAAAATTCAAGGACTTTGAACATAAACAGAGAAATCAATAGGGAAAACATTAACAGAAGGAAATATAGCCTCCAGATCTAGTCAAAGAATTCAGGCAGCTATGAACAAATATTGTAAAACAAAGGGAAATGATGCAATACTTAATGAGCCAAAGGACCTTGTGAACGAAAGGAAAACATGGAACCACACGTGGTCCGAGTGGTTCCAAAGAGAAATGAGAAATATGAGAACAGAGCTCACGCCCTGCAAAGCAAAAATAAGGAGGTCTGCAAAGTCAAACCTCACCAAAGAAACGGGAGAAAAAACCACAGGTTGGGAATGCAAATACAAAGACATGAAGGACAACCTAGAACGAGAAAAGCAAAAGTAGGAGAACATTAAAAGAACACATATTCACTGTGCAAACAAAACACATCATCTCAAAGACAGGACACAAAGAGGCCTCCCAAAAGAACACGACAGGACAAAAAAACCTTCACACTATAAGGCAAGAAATGATACAAGAGGACTGCCCAGAACTTCTAAACAGACAAAAGGAAGAATCAGCTGAAAGAATTCACAGATCACCTCCAGAAGCAAAAAAAAAAACCCAGGCTGCAAACGGCAAGACCTATGGTGGTTAAATGTAACAATGCAGCTCAGAAACAAACTGAATACACGATCAAGAGACCTTCAAATACAAAGGAAAGGAATTGTGAGCCACGCAGACTCTCATGCACCCGCCAGAAAACGTAGGAGGGAATGGAATCATGTGTTCCCAACTGCAATGGGAGGTCAGGATGCAACTCAGAGTGACCTACCCTGCAAATTTTAGCTTAACCAAAAATGGGAAAAAAAAAAAGGACATTCAGTAATGAGGCATTGGAAACTTTTTTCTGAAGAAAACCAAAACCGAAGAGATCATCTGCTTCTCAGTCACCCCAAGTAACACAAATGCATGAGTGAGTGACTGAATGCAGCAGCCAAGGGCAGCAGCAGAGTGAGAGCAGAGACCTGCGAGAAGCCTCCTTCCAATGTACACAAGGAGACTGTGCCCACGGAAGTTGGGGGGGGCAGCAATGAAGAGCAGGGGGGGGGGGGGGGGGGGGGAGAATCACAGACAGTCTGGCAACACCCCGCAGAGAGGCAAATCAATGACCATAATGTAATACAGCATATTGGCAGGGCACCTGAAAAGGGGGGGGGGAGACAGAGGAATGCGTTTGTGCTGACGACAAGCAATGAGGGGGAGAGGACTCCTGAGGTCTCAGAAACAGACTGCAAAAAGGGGGAGGCAGGGGGAACAAGGCCTTGCTTTGGTTGTGGGATGGGGTTCCACTGACAAACGCCCCTAAAGAGACAGTCTGTGAAAGGAGATGCGGACCTTGCACTGGGTGCAGCCTGGGGAGATCTGGTTCTTGAAAAATCTATGCAGACTATCTCTGGGAGGGGGAAGCTGGGACCCTTGGGGACAGCTGGCACCTGGAGGGGCAGGAAAGCATAAACACAGGAGATTTCCAGGCAGATGGAGGGAAAAGGTCAAGAAGAGAAGCCACAGATCAGTGGTGGGCCACACATTCAGAAAAGTGGTGAGGGAGGGGCCCTACCACGGGCAGTGTCCTCTCTGACACCTGCAATTTATTGGTGTTATTCCGAAAATGGGGCACCATGAAAAAGGGGAATCAAAAAAAAAGGGGGGAATCCTACAAGACAGGAACAGAAAGTGCCTAGAGGAGAGAGCCTGGAGTGGACATCCTGGAAGTTGTGATCCGATGAAGAATACAGAAAAAAGAGAGAGACCAGACGATGATGAGTCACGAGCCAGAGGAGAGCGTAGAGAAGCAGAAAAGGAGGGTGGATAATGAAGAGAATGAGAGAAACCCATCTTGGAAAGGGGCCCAAATACTGAAAATGTATAACGCAAGAACAGACCTAGGTGAAAGGGGGGAGAGCAAGGAGGAATCTATTTATGACTGAGCAGAAAAAAGGGGAGAAGAATTACATAACCAGATACAAGCAGGGGAGAAAAAGGAAGCAATAAGCAGAACTCCGAAGGGAAAGGGGGCAGCAAACCAGAGGAGGGGATCAAGGTCTGGGGAAGAGGGCCATTGGAAAGAGTCTTAATGCTGGTCTCTCCAGGAATTTGCTCAGTCCCGTAGGCCCTCTACCCTTCCCTGCCCTCTTAAACCTTTCTGTTAGATTTATCCAGAGCTGAGAGGGCAATATTAAAGTGTCCTGCCACTACTGGGTTACAGTCTTTTTGTAGCTCTGATGTTTCCTTAGAATATCTTTCATTATTAACACTGGTTTGTTTGCTATGGTTCCTTTCAGCATAATACAGTTTCCTTGTTTATCCCTTTTTATTTTTTGGATGTTTTTTTTCTTTATCAGATAGCATGACAGCAACTCCTTGTTTTTTCAGATTCATTTGATGCATGGTAAATTTTTTTCCCCCATCATCTGTTTTATATTGTGTATACCTTTGTTTTTTAATGTGTTTCTTTTAAGCAACAGATTGTAGGGTTTTGGTTTCTTATCCAATCAATCACTTACTCTTTCTCATTTTGTTGGACTGTGCACTCCATTCACATTTAAAGTTATGAAAGGTTTATTTTTTCCTCTCTGTCTCTAACGTTGCCTTTCCCCCAAGTTAGGATTTTCCCCCTCTTCTGCTGTAAAAACAGTATCTACCCCCCTGTATCTATCTCTAGCTCCTGTAAAAACAATATTATGTTCCTTGAATTACTTTAATCTTTTTTTTAAAGGTGGCTCCATTCCCACCGGCTCTTTTCTCCTAACCCTGATCCTCTCCTCTAGTGTGTCACCCTCTTTCCCTCTGGAGTTCTGCTTATTCTTTTTCTCTCCTGCTCTTATCTGGTTATAAAATTCTTCTCCTCTTTTTTCCTCTCAGTCAGATTAATTCCTCCTTCCTCTCCTCCTCTTCAACTAGGTCTGTTCACGGGTTTTTAAAGTTTCATTATCTGTGTCCCTTTCCAAAAAGGATTTCTCTCATTCTCTTCATTATCCATCCACTTTTTCTGTCTCCTCTACACCTTCATTCTCTGATTCATGACCCCCTATAATCACCTGGTCTCTCTCTTTTCTCCATATTCTCCATACAAACAGTCTTAACTCTTATTGTCTAAATGGGACAGCAAATACACATATTCCTCAGCACTACATGGAACTTTTATAGACCATAGTACAAAAAAATAATAATTGGTTCAGGAATCCAAAGAAAATACACGGCCTCAAATGGAGACTTTACAATGAAATCCTAAATAATGAGTGGGTCAAAGAACAAATTATATAAACAATAACTACGTAAGAGAAAATGATGATAAAACACCACACCAATATTTCTAGGATGCAACTAAAGAAGTCCTCAGGTGAAAAATATTTTCATAAACATATATCAACAAAATAGAAAAGGAGAAGACACAGGAACCGGCTATCACTGCTGATTACAGGGTTTGGTTTTGAGGCAATCAGGGTCAAGTGACTTGCCCAGGGTCACGAAGCCTGTGAGTATCTGAGTCTGAGGCTAGATTTGACCTCAGGTCCTCCTGACTCCAGGGCCAGTGCTCAAGGGGATATTTTTTATTTTATGTAATGATTCTCTTGAAGGGGGAGGAATAACTGGGATCACTTTGGTGATACAAGAAATAGAAGACATCAACAAAAACTTATTTTAAAAAAGATGGGCTGGGAAAAGCTTCCTGTATCTCAGCTTTCCTGAGACATGAAAGAAGGTCAGTGTCACATATTGGGGAGAAAGGTGTGAGAAGACAGGAAAGACAGGAGGCAGCTACAGAAGGGCTTTGAATGCCAAACAGGGCATTTTGTGCTTGCTCCTAGAGGTGACAGTCACTGGGGTTTACTAAGGGGGGTGTGACCTAATCAGACCTGTGCTTTAGGAAAATCACTTTGGTAGCTGAATGGAGGGACTTGAGGCAGGCAGACCCACCTACAGACTACTGTAATAGTCAGCGGCTAGAAAGCCAGCCTAGGAGTCAGGAAGACCCTGGTTCAAGTCTAACTTCTGACAAATACTGGCTGCAAAATGCTAACTTCTCAGGGCTCCAGGCAAAACTGTAGAAGAGGAGGGTTGGTACGCTGCCAGAGGGCACTTCCTCTACCAGTGAAATCACAGGTCTAAGTCCTCTGTGCCAGGCACTGGGCTAGGTCCTAGGGGGCAAGACAAAAGCCCCCGCAGGCAGGAGCTTCTACATTATCAGAGGGAATGTTTTCTTCTTCCTGGAGCAACAGAAGAAGACTCTCTCTCCTGCCTCGGTGGTCCCAGCTACTTTGCAGGGTTTGGTCTAGGGCCTTGCCTGGTTACCACTCCCTCCTCCTCAAAGACCCAAACCAAGCATTTATTAAGCTCCAAAGTGTGCCAGGAACCCTGTTAAGTAATGCAAAGACAAACACAAAGGACTTCTGAGCCAGACAAAAATAGAAAAATGCAAGACTGCTCCTCCCTCCCCCTCCTCTTTCCCTTGCCCCCTTTCTCAAGGCAGGATGGCCCAGCACAAAGATGCCTAAGGAGGAGTCTGAGGACCTGAGTTCAAATCCCAGGTTTGCTGCTCATTAACTTGGGTGAGTCACCCCCTAGACTTCAGTGTGCCCCAAACGCTGGGCTTGGGCCAACTCCGAGTCTTTGATCCCACCATCCTAAGCACAGTTAGGGTCCCAGTCTCACCCCCACCCCCACCCCCCAAGTGCTCCAAGGGACATTGGAATTCACTGGCCCCAAGACCCAGGAAGGGGTGAGGCTGCCCGAAAGAGGGGGGAAGCGGAGTGACCCTGGGCTGGTCCCCTCACCTGTGAAATGCCCTTGAAAGGTACCCTGCACCCCCAAGTCTCTGATCCTAAGCCCTGTGGTTTTCCCTTCCTTGACCCAGACCTCAATTACTTCTAAACGCGTCTGGTCAATTGCTGTAACTGACCAGGACAGGCCTACTGGGGGGGGGGGAGCAGCCTCAGTTTCCCCGTCTGTAAGACAAAGTAGTGAGCCCGGAGGGCAGCGCAGGCCGCACTCGCCAGCCCAGGATCCTACAGCCTCTGCAGCAGGATAACTTCCAGCCTCGGAGCTGGTACGCACCAAGGCACGGCCGCCGGCCCTTCCGTCGCTGCCCCCCCGCAGAGCTCCGGGCCTCCATCCCTCCAGCCCAGCCCAGGGCCACAAGCTGGGCCTGGTACCTGTGTGGGCGTCAGCACTTGGCCCAGCTCAAGGATCTCGCTGTCCGCGTACTTGACGCTGAGCGGGTGCTGCGGCTTCTCCTCCACCTCCCGCAGGCTCAGGGGCCCGGTCCACTGGCTCAGGTCCACCGGCATGGTGCACAGCAAGCGGCGGAGGCGGCCACAACGGAAGACAGCCAGAGCAACGGAGCACGAACGCGTCGTGTGGCGCAGGGACCTGGACAAGAGCGCGCGCCTGGCCACGCCCCCGTCCCAAGATGCCCAATCAGAAGCTGTTGCCCTCGCCTTTCTGCTCTATGATTGGCCTAGACCGCCCAGCTGTTCCCGGGGAACTCAAGGTCGAGGGCGCGCGGACCCACACCTCCACCCCAAGCTGCCCAATCAGGAGCAGGTCCCTTCGCCTTTCTGCTCTCTGATTGGTCTAGACTAACCACCCTGAGAGAACGTTGAAGCCTGAACTCAGGGCCACGCCCCCACCCTTAGCCATCCAATAAGAAGTGAGCCACCTCGCCTTTCTGCTCTCTGATTGGGCTAGACTCCCCCAAGCAGGTCAGGGCCATCTCGCCTTCCTTCCCTTCCTTTCTCCTCTTCTCCCCAGGTTTGTTGTGTACGCTTCTTGGCCCTCCTGTAGTGCAACAGTAGCCATCGTCTCCGAAACTGGGCAGTGCCTGGCATGTTTTAAAAATATATATCGGTCCCAAAGCAGGACCAGTTTGCTTTTCACCTTCGTTTGCACGCTCTGCCGCAGACATTTGCCGCCCCAGCTTGCGCCCTGGTGCAAGCTTCCCTTTGCATCTGATTTGTGCTGTTGCAATCACCCTCTACTTTCTCCCAGTTCCAGAATAATCCTTCCACTCATTTTCAGCGCGCTGCCAAAAATAAGCTTGCTTCTGTGCCGATCAGGGCATACCACTACCCTGCCCCCAAAATTTCAATGATTTACCCAGGAAAAGACAAGCCCTTTTTGCCTGATATTCAAAGTCCTCTACAATTTGGCACCTGAGGAGAACCAGGAAAATGTTGTACACAATAACAGCCACATTGTGCGATGACTAATATTGATAAGCTTAACCCTTCTCAGCAATGCAAGGATCTAAGGCCTCATGATGGAAAATGCTATCCACATCCAAAGAAAGAACTATGGAGTTTGAATGCAGATTGAAGCAAACTGTTTGCTATTTTTTTCTCTTCTGTTGAGTTTTGTTTCCTCTTTCTGGTGGTTCCTACTATGGGTTCTAATTCTTACTTACAGCATTACTAATGTGAAAATGTGTTTAATAGGAATGTATATGTAGAGCCTATATCAGATTGTTTGCAGTCTCAGGGAGGGTAGTTGGGAGGGAGGGGGAAAAAATTTTAAACTCAAAAGCACAGGGAAGTGATTGCTGATAAATCAAAATTAATTAATAAAAAAAAAATTTTTAATGAGCCATATGTTATCTGACATAGTCAATAAGTTGATTTGTTTTACTGTATGTAGGTTGTCCTAAAAGTCGAAGGAAGGAGCAGACAGACTGTTGATGGGGTGCTTGGGTGCTTGTACTCGGAGCCCACTTCCAAGACCCTATTTCACCCTAGCTTCCAAAACACTATCCCTGACAATTTTCTGCCCGACCCCAAGGACCCTATCTCTGGCAATAACTCGTGAGTGGGCCCAGTGAGGCAAAATATCTCATTACCTCTCCCTGTTACAAGAACAGGCCGGCCTCTGTATAATTGCTCTTGTATGAACGAGCCTATCTTGTATCAACAAAACTATCACATACTGATTCCTACAGTAATCATATATGATCCAGAGGCCAAGTTATAGACATCAGCTCCCAAAACGATCTTATTACAGACATAACAGACCAAAAATACACCCTTACCTCCCTTAAGAAGCCCCCTCCCCAGTTTCCAGTAGTGAATGACATCTGTGCCAAGGTTGTATGTTATCACCTAATTAGCATACTTGGCACGTAACTCACTACTTTTCCTCTATAAGCTTTAGCATCATTCCTGTTGAATTGCAAGTTCCCTAAAGAGCTCTGCCTGCCATATTAGCATTATAACAAACTTTTTGCCACCTGACTGAAAGACCACTTAAGTCCATGAATTCTTCTCAGACAACTCTACCCCTTACCTCAGTATTCTGGGGTCCCTACATCCCTGAACCACATCAAAGTGGCTTGCCAAAGTCATATAGCTAATGTATCTGAGGCTGGATTTGAAGCTTCCCTATGTTAAGAGAGGGACTTCTCTCTCTGTGACTTCCCTACACCAATAAAATCAGAGATGTTGGAGAAGGGAGAAAGGGAAATTCAGTCCAGGGAAGGAAAAAAAATTAAGAGGCAGAATCCCATAGTGGAAAAGTGTATTGAATTTAATATGAGATGACCTGGGTTGAAATCCCAGCTTTGCCATTTACCGTCTGGGTAGTCTTGGACAAGTCACCACATTCCACTGATTCCTCTTATCTGTAAAATTAAGGGGTTGAATTAGGTGATCTCTCAAGTCCCTTCCAGTTATGAATCTATGATCTGTGTTGATATCTCATTCCCCCTACTAGACCACAAGTTTCAAGTGGTGAGGGACCTCGTTGCTGCTTCTGTATCCAAAGTACATGCTAAATACACGATGGTTTCTCTTTAATGCATCAAAGGCCCTAGCTGCTAAAAAAAATACCCCCTGACGCTTCACAGCCCTGACTTGGCGGGCATCTGTTGGCCAATATGCCAGGTGAGTTGGGGGTAAAGTTCTCTGCAGGTGGGATTGGGGAGAGATTGGAGGGAGGGAGAATAGAAAGATGTCAATTCCCTATGAACACTGCCCTACTCAAAGTTCACCTTCCCTTAGAGATAGATCTGTGATTAAGCCCACCCACTGCCAGGAAGACTTTGTTCTGGTCCAAAGGCACTGGTCCTGGACTGGGATTTACCAAGAAAAGCAGCAATTAAAAACAGGCAGGGGGTATTGTAAAGCTCAAAAGAGATAATGGATATGAAGCACTTTGCAAACCTTAAAATGCTATATAAATGCCAGCTGTCATCATCATTATTATCATCATCATCATTATTAATTAGCCAGACTTCCAGTCTGGTAATGACTTCATTTCCTGAGCCTTCTGCTATACTTCTGTGGAGCTCAAGTAATGTTTATAGAGTAATGGAGTTGTGTGCAGGTAAATATAATAATGAGATTTGTTGGAGGAAAAAAAAAATCATGCACATGCACTTTTAAAGTTAATCCACATTATCAGCATTTTGTTAAGTCTAGACAATAAAAAAAAATCAATCCCTGATTTATAGCCTTTGCCCATTTCTGAGATATAAATGCACACCCGAAAATTTAACAATCAGCTCTCCCAAGCCAGTTAGAGCTGGCTCCACCACATCCCTTTCTGAAAGGGAATACTGGAAAGCAAGGAGATGCATGGAGGCTCTGAATTTGGTGAGCCATCATAAAGAATCAATTAACATGCATTTATTAAGCAGGATTCTGATTGCTGCTAGTAGTAGCAATAGTAGTAGTAGTAGTAGTAGTAGTAGTAGTAGTAGTAGTAGTAGTAGTGGCAATGGCAGTGGCAGTTGCAGTAGTGGGGCAGCTAGGTGGCCCAGCGAAATAGAGTGCCAGACCTATATAATATATATAGACCTGTATAGTAATAATCAATTAACATGTGTTTATTAAGCAGGAGTCTAATTACTAGTAGTAGTAGTAGTAGTAGTAGTAATAATAATATCTCATATTTCTATATTGCTTCAAGATTTGCAAAAGCACTTTACATGTATCATCTTGTTTGAGCTACATAGCAACCCTCTCAGACAGATGCTCATTATCCTTCTTCTAAAGATGGGGAAACAGGCAGAGAAAGCATGAGTGAGCTGTCCGAGGCCACACATTTAACATCCTCTACTCCACTCATCCTGTCCTCCACCGTTCCTCATTTGTAATATCTTGCAGTTACTTATGCCCACCATGCATTTGTCCTCCATTTGCCCTTTGGGCGATCCTCAACTTGAGTTCTTCAGAGGTGTTTCCTGAATCACAGACATAATAATCTGGAAGAATATTATTTTTTTTAAAAAGACAGTCCTTTCTTCCAGGGTAAAACTTGGACTCATTAAGAAAACTTTGCAATTTCCTAAACACAATCCAGCTCACTCTTCTTTTCCTGTTCAATTTTGAGACCTCCTCACTGTCTATTTACAGTACATTTTAAGACATAGAGATAAACTAGATTAGACACGCAGAGAGAAAGATAGTTACATAGCTAGATAGGTAGTCAGAGAGAGAGATAAAGACAAAAAAGAGAGACCTGAAAGATAGAGAGAAATAAATGAGACTAGACAGACAGGCAGAGAAAAAAAAGACACATAAATATACAGCTAGATAGATAGAAAGATAGACAGATAGATGGATAGATAGATGGATGGATGGATAGACAGACAGACAGATCGATAGATAGATACAGACAGATAGATAGATTAATGGGCATATAATAGGGGTCTTTAACTTGGAGTCCAAGAACTTGTATAGACAGAAAGATAGATAGATGGATAGACAGACAGATAGATACAGACAGATAGATAGATAGATAGATTAATGGGCATATAATAGGGGTCTTTAACTTGGAGTCCAAAAACTTGTGTAGACAGACAGATAGATAGATAGATAGATAGATAGATAGATAGATAGATAGATAGATATAGATATTTTATTTCTTTTGCACTCCTGCATGTTTTTATTTTATGTATTTAAAAACATGACTCTGGCATCACCAGACTGCCAAAGGGGGCCATGACACCAAAAAAAGGTCAAGAACTCCTGCTCTATATAATGTCATGGAACTGCATACTGCATATGAGACTCTTGGTAGACTGATGGAGCCAATTCAATTAAATTCAACTCAACCAACATTTATCAAGTGTCTGCTATAAGCTAGGCTCTAAGGATACAAAGACCTCCCCCCCCCACTAAAAGAAAAGAAAAGAAAAGAAAAGAAAAGAAAAGAAAAGAAAAGAAAAGAAAAGAAAAGAAAAGAAAAGAAAAGAAAAGGAAAGAAAAGAAAAGAAAAGAAAAAAGAAAAGTTGTCCCTGACTTCAAGGAGTTTACAATCTAACATAGGGAAACTGTAAGTGCATAAACAAATTCAAGGTTTGGGGTGAGGAGAGTACTAACAAAGGGTAGAGGCTGAGAAGAAGCGTCATAGACATTAGCACCTTAACCTCTTTCTTGGAGGAAGAG